GACGCAGAGGTAACGAGATGGCTGATCTCTAAACATTCTCTGAGTACTACTATTATTACCACTCCCACTAATACGACATTAATTAATTTAATACCTTCAACTTAACAATAATAATAAAAAATAATAAATCAACCATGATTTTAAACTATGTCTTATCAATATTCATTCTTCCAAACATGAGAAAGCATTCACCAAAAACATAACTGGAATCGAGCAAAAGGACTCCAAATCCCAACGGCCAAACCCGGAAGTGAAGTGCCGGCATTATTGACTCCAGCTGTATTACTTGGTTCTAACAAACATTATAGTGCCACCGCAGAAACGTGACGACTGTGCAAAAATAACTACATAAAAGACACCACTGTTACAGAAAGACTTCACACGCTATTTAAACTGCCGATCGCGAACGGAACAAACCGTGATTGAAACTAACTGTGATGCCGCTCTTTATTCGTTGCGCTAACTGTCGCCTGTCAGTGGCAGACCCGCCCCTTTTAAAGCGCTAGCTTAATCCATCAATATGCGTTTCGCTGGATTGATTTTATTTGATTTCCTCGTGGTTATTGCGATCCTCGGTCCCGCTTTATACCTGTGGACATCGAGGCTCTAATCCCTCATTGTGTCTGAGGACCGGCAACCCAAGGCCAAGACCAAGGACTTGAGTCCCAAGGCCGAGGCCAAGGCCAAGGAATTGACTCTCAAGGCCAAGGCCAAGGACCAAGGACCGACCTTCGGTCCTCAAGGACCGGCTCGAGGAACACATCCCTGCTTTTGGTATGCAAAGCACTTTACAGTTTCCTCATTTACCGACTGATCATGCAGCATCAGGAGCAACTGGAGGTTAAGGTTAATGTGTGTGTGTGTGTGTGTGTGTGTGTGTGTGTGTGTTTATATATATATATATATATATATGTACATAAATAATGTGTGTGTGAATATTTGATTTTCACACACAAGCACATACGCACACACATGCGCGCACACACACACACACAAACACACACACACACACACACACATACACGTGTAAATACACGTGTATGATGGATGTAAAGTATTATATAGTAGACACACACACACACATACACGTGTGTGTGTGTGTGTGTGCGTGTGTGTGTGTGTGTGTGTGTGTGTGTGTGTGTGTGTGTGTGTCTACTATATAATACTTTACATCCATCATCTTCAATTATTGAACAAACCATTGACGCGATCCTCCATTGGCTTGCATTTTTGTTTGAGGCTCTCCAGATCACCGAAAAGACTTTCCAGGATGGCATTGGCGATGGGGAGCATCATGGCTGTCGTGGCTGTGTTGCTGAGCCACATGGACAGGAAGGACGAGGTCATCATCATGCCCAGTATGAGCCTAGAGATGTGGGAAAGAGAGGAACAACAAATCCAACAAAAATGTCACATTATCGTAGCGGACATTTTACTCGGATAAAATGCATCCTTGTTAATTATGTATGCCAGCGGCATCCAATGACGGACAGAACAATTAAGTGCTCTTCCATGAGATGGCAGACAGTACAATCAATGTGTATCTACTTGGTCTTATGACAGCGTTGTACTCGACTGAACAGAATGAATGCTGAGTCAGAAATGTTTTGAATTGACGTTGAATTGGATTTTAAATTGAAACAAGATCACCATAAATTCTGCTCTGGGATTAATGAAGAGACCAAAAATATGCTTCAAATGACATTTGTTTTGCTAGGAATTTAATTTAGTATTGACAAGGGGTACCTATGAAAATATTTATTTTGTACTTCCTTTATTGACTCCTTTTATTTCCTTGTCCTTTAAAAGAATGACATAAATGAAAATTAAAATGAAATACTTATTGTGACAATTATGTTTGTTGGTGCAGTGACATTGTTCTATAAAACGTGTGCCTCGGCTCAAAGTGTGGGCAACATTAGTGTCAAGGACTGGTTTCATTCACCAAGATTTGGTCGCAAATCTTGGTGAATTCTTTCCTTTTATTGAGCCGAGGCACACCACCAAAATGTGATAAAAAGTCTGAATTCTGAAGTAATGATGATCCTGTCTCAATATATTTGACATATGTGCAACATCTAGGCCTGTTTGTACAGTAGCTGAAATATGAAGCCATGGTTTTTCCCGTTGTCTGATTGGCAACATGTTAATTGGAACATCGGACATCCATCGGGGGAATATTTGATTGCTCTACCTGCTAGTGCCTGTCACCGATGTAGATATAGATGAACAATGAAAAAAAATGAATCATTTTCAGACAAATGAAGTGAAATTGGCTCATTCCCCTGTGCACCCTTGATGATCTCTTGAGGTGCACTAGTGATGGGAATGACTGCTTTGGATGGTAAATCACAGTATTGTCGTCCTGGATTTTCTTACCAGGCTGGTTTGACACCCGCAATGATGAGAACTTTCAGCGCTATCCTGCGATGGAGTCCCCACTCCTCAATGGATGATGCCAGCACCAGGCCGCTTAGGAAGAGAAAGTTGGTTTCGAGGAAGTACTGAGGGCAGAGTTTTTGGGAAGGAATGATCCCCAGCGTTGGGAAGAGGCAGATGGGTAGCATGGCGGTGACGGCCAGAGGGAGGGCCTCCGAGCACCAAAACGCGGCCATCAGCAACACCACATAAAGACATCTTCCTTCCTAAACACAGCAAGACGACACAACTCAGCTGACGACGCAAGAAACGCATGCCAGAAATAGCAAAGATGAATGGTTTTCAAGCAAATGACTAAGGAGGCAACACATGTATTGTACTAATCGCTCACTCACTCACCTTTTCAGGCAAGGTCACGAGCAAAGGCGAAAAAAGCAGAGGTGTGATCAGAAGCACCAGCACTTTGTGAACGCACCACAACTTCTTGGACATAACCGCCAACTTCATGTTGACGTGTTGAAGTTTGCTCCGGAGTGGTAGAGAGGAAGCTGGCAGGCAGTGCTTTAAAGCCTCCACGACCGTGCGGAGAAGATTAACCACATGCTCTGCTACAGGTTAACTCCTCGTACGGAGGTGTCAAATAGTTAAGCGGGACACTCCGGTTTCCCAAAGTAGGCCTCTCCCACTTTGACTGGAGGCGTGAGCACTGCATCTTCGGAGCCCCTGACCTGACCTGCAAAAAGATCCACGCTCATGCTGAGAGAGCAGCATATATACTCTTTCCAAAATATCATGGAAAAGTTCATTTTCATAATTCTATTCAAAAAGAAAGTTCATAGATTATAGATTCGGGACCCACAATTTAAACAATGTCAAGTATTCATTTGTTTATTTTTTCATAATTTGGGTTTCCAGTTCTTGAACCCATGAAAACTCGGATTCAAAAATATCGAATTGCTGTGAAGAAGCCACCGTGTCCTTCTCAAATTTTGCAGGAAAAAAAAGACAGAAATTATGATCACATCAAATCAATCAAAATGTGGTATATTCAAAATGACATCTTCAATACTTGGTTTGCCTTAATCACTGCCTCGATGATTCTCGGGGACTGCTGTACACCCACCCCCCTCCCCCAAAATTTGTCACATGAGAATGAATTTATCTAAATTTTGATAAAATTCTTATTTTAAAAGCTCGATAGTTGAAGATGTACTTTATTTCAACTTGTGACTGTACCTGTCAATCTGTCCATTATGTGAGTCTCTCTCTCTGTCTCTCTTTCTCTCTCTCTCTCTCTCTCTCTCTCTCTCTCTCTCTCGATATATCGATATCTATAATCTATATCCAGAGGCGGAGCTTCCCACGAGGCAAGCCAGGCAATTGCTCTGGGCCCTCTAGCCAGCAGTGCCACCCAGAGGGCCAACAGTTTTGACACAAAACTAAAATCCTTCACAATTGCAATGCCAAGTTACAAGGGCAATTGACCGTCTCAAATTGCCCCGTGAACCAAACTCGCCCCTCCCCTACCTGTTGCTCCTCACAGAGAGAGAGAGAGAGAGAGAGAGAGAGAGAGAGAGAGAGAGAGAGAGAGAGAGAGAGAGAGATAAAACAAGTCATCAGATTACAAGTATATTTATTAAAAATTGGGATTATTTCACATGATTACATGCATTTGATACATGGATACATTGTCTTAATTCATGTAGCTCAATGGGCCGCCCGATTCCGCTCTGGTGGTGGTTGCTGAGACAGGTGTACTGTCAGGAAAAGGCGGGGCGACTGGCTGACTGGTCGTGATCCCAACACACACCCGGCTACTTTGAAAGCAGCTGGAGGGAAAGGAGGAAGTGTTGACTGCTCTTCACTGGGACCAAGACGTTGAACAAGACGTGAAAGACTGATTTATCTAAAACAATATTCACAAAGATAAGTGCGAGCTGTCAAAGTCTTGTGGCGTTCTGCTAAAACGGAGCTAGCTGCCAGTTCGCTGCACCGAATGTAAGTTTCACCCGCGTCACCGATCAACAACAGATTTACGAGTTAAAAACAATCACAATAAAAAGGGCTAAACTTGGCACGGAGAAAAACGTTGTATCGTCATGTGTGCGTGCGATGTGTAGGAAAGGGGTGAAGTACAACTTTGAGCAGCAAATCTATATCCATTCATCCATCCATCCGTCCATCGGCACCACTATGAATAAGCACGACTGTCTAAAACAGGGGTGTCAAACTTTACATTGTGGGCCACATACGTCCATGGTAGATGTCAAGTGGGCCGGACCATTAAAATTCTACCATACTCTGCTCTAAATAACCAAAATATCATGTCTTTCCTTTGTTTTGGTCTAAAGAAGCACAAGAACATTAGGAAAATGTTGAAATTTAATAAACATATCTTTTACAAAACATTTCACGAAGCACCTTAGATTTCCCTAGAGAAATGTGCAATTTACTTTTATTATTTACATATATGCATTGCAACTGATCCCATTAATTGTACAAAGGCACAAAATTGTAACAATTACATACATGGCAATGGCGAGTGATGAAAAAAGCGGAAGGGGCGTGGCCTGGACGGGGGCGTGGCCTGGACGGGGGCGTGGTTACTTACAAAAGTGGCACTAAACATGCTGAAGATGAAGTGTATTAAATTTACACAGTTTGAAAATTGAACAGAAAAAAATCCCAAGATCGCCACTATTCTTTCAAGTGAAAATTTGTGCAATTTTGCCTATGCATTCCTGGTGAGCACCAATATGTAACTCCAAATTTGCTGCTCAAAATCAAAACTAAAAAAGTAAACACA